ACCCAGACAGAAACAGAGACAGAGGGCGGAAAGAAAGGAAAATCCGCTGTGCGCGCTTACCAATTCTCCTCTTTCAGCCAGACGTCCCACCGAACCGGGGTAAAAAGAAAAAGGCTAAAATCGCCTAAAAGGGCCCGGCCCTGGTTCGATGGAAGCCAGACCGCTGGTCTCTGGTCTCGCCGGGGTCTAGAATCTCGCTGGGGCCTCCAAAATGTTGTACCCTCGGTGTTACAGACGAGGCCAGAGACCGGATGGTAAAGTAAAGAGGAGATTTATTCCTGCAGCAGGGACCACATTCATGGAGGAATGCGGTGCTTGAACAGAGTTGGAAGGAGATCTTTATACCTTCACAATCCGCTTTCGGCAAATGGGGAACAATACAATCAGTTTTTGACAAGAATGAGAACAATGGCGACAGTGGGGAGTTACAGAATCACATAAGCAGTTGAGCAAGCGATATACAGAAGCAGATTTGGTTAGCAGTAAGCTTTATCTTTTAATTTACACCTTCTAAGCAATCTTTGTCCATTACATTGTAGGTAAGCTCTTTCCACTTACCAGGGGAATTCTCTGAGGCAGTTACTAGTCATTTGAATGGGCTCGAACTTAGGAGAGCTAAGCCTATCATGCATACCCTGAGACAGCTGATTATTCTAGTGTTTGGCCGTGTCATGCCTATCTGGAGCCTAGAGGAGTCATGCCTATCCTGAATGCCCTGAGAAAGCTGATAGGTATCTCTATTATGTCAGGATCCTGGGGAGTCAGGTACAACAGGTTCTAGTCCCCCTCTTGGCCGTGGAGCCAACTGGGTGACTTTGGGCCAGTCACAGACTCTCAGCCCAACCTACCTCACAGGGTTGTTGTGGGGATAAGATGGAGGAGGAGATATAAGCTGCCTTGAGCCCTTTGTAGGAAAAAGGCAGGATATAAATTGCAATATAAATAAATAAATGAATAAACTGTTGAAAAAAAACCATCCCTGTTGCTAACCAGTTTAATTCAGGCCTCTGACACGGTGACAGCTGCCAGCCACCAACCAACAAAATTAAGTCTGTTGAGAGGCAGTATGGGAAGACAGTGACCCTGTCTTCAGGGATCCATGTCCCCACTGAAGACCCCCCAAAAATAAGTGGGGGTACCCCAACCCCCTGCGGGTCCCCTCAATTACACCCTTGTATACTCCACCTCTGACATCCCCGTTTTCCTGCTACAAGTAGAGATAGAGAAATAGCAATCGCTTCACCACAGATTCTGGTGCCCAGCTCAAACTTTGTGGTGTAGAAATGAGAATGTTGGACTGAGACTCAGCATATCTAGATTCTAGTCCCTGCTTGGTCATGAAGCTCCCTGGATGGCTTTGGGCTAGGCAACTGACTGTCAGACTAACCTACCTCACAAGGGTGTTCTGAAGATAAAAATGAAGAGGACAATAATATATTCTACCTTGAGCTCATTGGAAGAGAAGCAGGAAGTAAATATATTAATTGGATTTATATGCACCTGAACATATTCTTTAGAAATGTTACACATGAATAAATAATAAAGAAATAAGTGGCTAATAATTGCCTTACTCCCAAGAAAAAAGTCTACTGTATACACAGGGACTATTGAATACAGTTAGAATGTGTTGGCTGTTTGGGTCTATTTGTCTTGCTCCCAGCTAGCACATCTTTCTCACTGTGGCATTCACAAGTATTATCATGACATTTTCTTTAAGCCCTTTACTTTAAGCCCTTTAAGACCACTTTTAATGGTCCAGTTCTCCCCCTTTTTTGCAGCAAAAAGCAGATGATAGGAATCATGAAGACCCACCAGCATCCCATGAAGAGAAAGGTTTTGATATGCTCTACACAATTGAAGATGCACCTCCATGGTATCTCTGTATCCTGTTGGGATTTCAGGTAAGAAGTCAATCAAGTTCCTCTGTAACTAGGCCCTCTCTCATGGGACTGAGGCCACAAAAATTCAGCTGTTTCTGATAACTTGTCTGCCGTCCAATTAATTCTCATGGTCATGGTTTCTCAAACCACTATATCAGTCTCACTGGGTGGGTTCACACATAACAATAAGCCATGATGGAAACTGTGAAAGCATGGCTTGTCATTACATCTGAACCCAGCATCCACAATGAAGCATGTTACATTTGGTCTCTGTGGGACCACACAAAGGAAGAAAAGCGTATTGCAAGGTTCCCATACTTCACCATGGCTTGTTTGCCTGTCTGAACCAAATTGCCATGTTTCTCCATGATTTTTATGTTTCTCTTTGAGAGTTTCACAGCAAGAGTGGCTCTGGCTGCAGCAGACACTCTAGCCTGCATTTTCCACTATCCTGTTCTGCCTAGAAACTGCTATGTCAGAGTTGGCTGTTGCTGACTGAACTGACTGCTTTGCTCTCCTTTTTTTCTCTGTCTGCATACTGCCTTCCCAATATCCAGCTGTGGCTTTGGGATCTTAGCAGCAGCTGCACCTTGCGGTGAGCCTCTTCCTGCAGCAGCAATGCTGGAGATGACTGTGCTTGGTGTTCCACTCTGATCACTGTACTTTGCTGGAGTGGCACTTAGAAATAGTGGAGTACTTTTGCTACTCTGGGGACCAGCAATCTCCTCATGTGAAGCCAGTCTCACATGAGGAGCATGTGGGCTGTGCATGGCATCACTGTTGGGGCAATTGCCCTGAGAAGCCCTGGTCTCCTGCTCTCTCTCCCACCCTCCCCATCACTCCTACCTGTTGAAATGCTACTCAACATGTAAACAACCCACACGTTCACGAGCAATAAAACTAAAGCCTTTATTGCTACTTGTCTATAAGATTAACAACTCTATAGATAAGCTCTTCTGTTGAGGTCTTTGGAATGTAGATGTTAATCCTCTAATGGTGTCTCTCCCCGACTAGCCCTCCTGGTCACGCCTTTCTTCCCTCTGGCGTAACAAGCTCTGCCTTTGCTCATATCTTCTAAGAATTCTACGACTGGTCGCTAGAGAAAAGTCTATTACGTCCCCTGCATCTCCTGTGTCATGTTCCGGAAGTTCAGCATCAGTAGGAGGAGGGACAGCCCTCTCTGACTCCTTCTGAGTAGAACTCGTAGTGTCTTTTCTCTCGGGGCTCTCTTGCTTTGATGTGGGCTCGGGTGTTTGCTCAATGGGCAGGGAGTCAGTGGGAGGTGCAGCTATCTGCTCAGCCACCCCCAAGCTAGGTTGTGGGGTTGGCTTTGGATACAGGGTCCTAAGCACAAGACCTCTTCATGAGGTGCTGTCTCTGTTGGGGCTTTAGGCATGACACTACCTTGTCCCTGGCATTCCTAAGGACTCTGAATGAGCCCCACTGCCTCCGTACCCAGCTGGATGTATGCACTGTCCCAACAGCCTTCCGGGCCTCTTTCCTAGGCAGATACTCCAGGAAAGTCTGCCTGGCAAGGTGTACACCCTCCATACCTGTGCTGATGCCCTCTGTGTGCATCCTGTGTGCAGTTGTGGTGGGGGACACTCTTGGAAGCATGTGAGAGTCCTGCACACATGGGAGAAGGGCGTTGACACACGTGCAATGAAGGAGCAGGGGAGAGATGGGTGTGCTTGCACATTGGTGCAGAGCTGAGCAGAGCACAGGGGAGTGCTCCCGTAGTGCTACTCTAGAGCAGCAGTGCTACTGTATGAGTGGGCAGTTGCTTGCTGAGCAGCAGGGAAAAAAGGCAGGTGGCTGAGGTCATAAAGTTACTTGTGAATGCACCCAGTATCTGTTACCAGATATTTCCATATCAATTGTGCCACTTTTTCAGAGGTAGAGGCAATACCTTTACTGTAAGGGTACATATAATGCTTGTAGAGTTCATGCCATAGAAATGAGGTAATCTGCTTTGTTGATCTGCCATACTAACTTTTGAAGAACTATTTGCCTTATGTATACCTTCTGATGTTTCCTCTACATTTTCATTCACTCATGTTAAATGCATTTTCTCTGAAATTTTCTACAGAGATGACCAGAATTCAGTATAAATCCCTCTGCTGTCTGCTACTGCTTCAGTGTGACATAGTGTGCTTACCTACACTTCAGTCTTATGCACAAACAAATGCATGTGTATTTTAAATAAAACTAAGTGTGGAAAATGGCTGTGGGGAAAGCATTTGGATGTTTAATTTTTCTTATTGCCCCTTAAAAAAAAGTTCCATGTTTCTGCAAATCTCAGGGTTCCCTTGAGCATACAGATACTCAGAGGCAGTGTTACAGGGTGGACCACTAAGGCTGCAGGTCCGGATATTTCATTTGGAGCCCCAGATTTCTGGGAGGCCATCAGCCCTACCAGTGTGCTGCCCATGGACACTTGCTGAAATGAAGGTACAGGGGACATCTGATCCTCCTAAAATTGCCAGCTTTTTGCTCACATGTTTTCCAGTTCCTGTTACCCCAACCTTCAATCTTTCTGCCTGAGTTTTTTCTGAAACCCAATGCCCCCCTGTCCCATTCCAATACATACATTTACAAATAAGGGTGATGTTAGCAGACAGAGTCCTCTAAAGACATACGCACCAATTATAAAGCATATGTAAATTAGCATAAGTAAATATGTGTGCTTTGTTGTTGTCATTGTCTTGTGAGCATGACCCCTAGATCTTTTTAGTTCCTATCACTGTCCCTGGAAATATTGGGTTGGGTTTGGGTTGGTTTGGTTTTGTTTTGTTTTGTTTGCTTACTTGGGGGCCCATTTTGGCTATAGTTCTGTCAGCACTCAACACTTGAATCCAGTATTAGAACAAGTAACAAAAGATCTAAAGGTGCATTCCTCTTCAAGCTGAGGCAGGAAGACTTAAACTCCTATCATGCCCACTTGCATACGTAGGATTGCACCGTAAGGGTGTTTCGTTGTGTGGCATTTTGCAGCATAAGTCATATGTAGCTCAAAAAGCTGCAAGGTAGAAAACATAAGTACAACACCAGAGCAAATAGCCTGTATCCCTAGACACAGATTCTTGGCATTTATTAAAAATGAACGTTTAAATTGAGCTGTAAGTGGATATCTAACATGTACTATCTCTGTGTACTCTACAGTCAATTGCTTCTTTTATTTAAAAGTATAAGGGGAACCTTATAGGGGTTTCAGTTTTGGGAATGTGTCTAATCATGTGCTGTTTTGACCCTCCCTCCCCGTTTTCCCTCCAGCATTATTTGACCTGTTTCAGTGGTACCATCGCTGTTCCTTTCCTCCTGGCAGAATCGCTGTGTGTTGGGAAGGACCAGTATACCATCAGCCAGCTCATAGGCACCATCTTCAGCTGTGTGGGAATCACCACCCTCATTCAAAGCACTGTGGGAATTAGGTTTGTTTTGCCTAGCTTGTCCCTTCCAGAACTGGAAAAGGAACAACGTACAGCAGTGGTTGTAAAAAATCACACTCTTTCTTTTTCTCGAACCAGGCTTCCTCTGTTTCAAGCCAGTGCACTGGCGTTCCTGGTTCCTGCCAAATCTATCCTGGCCCTGGATAAATGGAAATGCCCTCCAGAAGGTAATTCAGTCTTGCATTGCCTGCAGGATAGTCTCTTAGGGGATCTCTCACCTGAGTGAATAAAGTCAACCACTTTCCAGGTGATGAGGTGCTCTGTTATATGCATTGAACTGGAGGGAAGCATTATCCTCTGTAAAACCATGCCTTGTAGGAGGAGAATTTTGGCATGATCTGTACTTGTCCAAAACCCCAGGGAGGCAGGGGAATAGTACAGATCTCCAACCCAGTGGTGGGACAATTAGCTTCCCACATAGTTATTTACTACGTGGTACCTGAAGGAGCAATCCTATGCATGTTTAGATAGGAAAAGTCCTAGAGTATTTCCCAGCCAGCATGGGAGATGTTGCACAATTTTCTGTCTAAACATGCACAAGATTGATCCCTAAAAGATCTTTCACCATATGAACCTAATGCTGGTGTGGAGAACCTCTGGCCCCACCAGATGTGGTGGTCTCCAACTCTCACCAGCCCTGTTCTGACCAAAAAGTATCTAAAGCTGCATTCCAGAGCTTCTCTACCTCAGGCTGTTAACTGGGGGTTAATCAGCTTTATCTACTTCTGGTTTTGGTGCAGAATTGAGAATTTGAATGGTACATGAGGAACATTTTGTTTCCTGCTTTTCCACTGCATAACCTCCAGGTGGCATGTTGGTATAGCACAGGGATGGCCTGCCTTGCTCAACAGAAGATCCACACACAGCAAATATCAGATGTTTGAGAGGTGCAAGCGGGTGCCCACAGTGGTGAGTGGCAAGCCCAAAACAAACTCAAAGAGCTTCATGTGGCTCCTGGGCTGCAGTTTGACCACCCCGGTATAGCAGAATAACAAATACACAAGCAAAAAGCATATTTTGCTTTTACAGTTAAATACTGTGTTTCAGTGCTGTTTAGACACAGAAATGAAACTAGGGGTTCAGGCTGTCATCAAAAGGACCCATCAGCAACCATGATAAATGCCTCATGTAGAAAAGCTGCTGTGTTCCCTTACCAGAATGGAAGTCCTTTTGAAATCAGTGACACTTCTGAGCAAACATTCATAGAGTTGTACTATAAATCCCATAGGAAAATGCCTTTCAGATGATTTCTTCATCAGAGGTAACCCCTGCCACCTTCAGATACATGGGCACTTTAGTTAAGCAGCTCCCTTCCTATGTGTATTTGTCTGGCACCAGCCTTATCCTGTTCCAGGGAGCAGACTAAGCCTGCTTTTTTTTTAATCTTGAGTGACAACTAATACATATCTTAGCTGCTGGCTACTGTTCGTTTGGTTTTAAGGGAGGTTATTTATTTTGTTTTGTTGTTAGTATTTTATGTGATTTAAATTAGAGATTCTGTTATGGGTCTTAAGGGATATACCAGCTCCAAGACAGTCCTTTCCCCTCCACTGCACTTTCCCAATGCAAGTGATAAGTAATAGAAGGAGCTGTTCAAGAAGGAGTACAATGAGATAAGGGGGAAACAGGTTACAAAGGGTAGAGAAGAATTGCATTGCAAAATGCTATGCATCATGTGCAGGGAAGCAACAATATTCCTGCAGCAGAAGCAGAATTTGGAGGGCGAGGAAATGCCTGGATTGCATGAAAACCTCATGTAACTCACAGGTTTAACTCACAGCTGAGTTCTGGGGCTAGCTGCTGTTCAGGTGGATCACTTGTTCAGAGGCCTTCAGTGACAGGCAGTCTCTACAGTGCATTATGTTTGTTTGCCGATTCAGCTCCAGGCTGCTAAGTGGCACTCCAGTAAGCAAGTTTCCTTTCCTGAAGGAGTCTTGCAGTGCCTCCATCAAGCAAGTTGCTTAATTCTGCTCCCATCTTATTTCTGTTCTCATGTGTGTTTACCTTTCTTGCTTAATAATGCAGAGGAGATCTATGGAAACTGGACATTACCACTGAATACGTCTCACATATGGCAACCAAGAATAAGAGAAGTATGTTGAACCAAGCCTCCAGCCTGCCTCGGTAGCAATGACCCATGTCTGACACAGGAGCACTGGTCAGGAAAGGATCTTCTCCTTAAATTAACACATCCCCTGCGGTTCCAGTCCAGTCCAGACAGGCCTTTCTGTCAGAGGCCTGCTTTGGAATTAACCCCATGGGGCTATACATGTGGAAGCATGTTAAACCGAAGAGAACTCATATCAATTTTGCCAGAAAGATCTGTGAACGGGAATTCTGGCTGGCAGGAATTCTGTACACCAGTTCCCCAGAGATTTTTTAGTAATAAAAACAAAAAGTCCTTATGTGAAAGATTCAAGAAAGAACTGGTTCATGTAATCATGCATGTGTCTACTCAGAAGCAAGCCCTAATGAGTTCAATGGGGCTTGCTCCCAGGTAAGTGTGTATAGAATTGCATCTTCAATATCATATGTCTCTGTCCTCTGTATTAGATAGATGGGATTGTGAACAAGATAAAAACATTTAGGAAGAGTCCTGTTTGCAAGTATTTTAAACTATAATTAAATCAAGTGTACTTTACTTGGGTTATGGAGACTAAGTCCAGGTGCTCCTTCCTGATGTGTTTATAGATCAGAGACTAACAGAGCAATCCTATGCATGCTTACTCAGAAGTAACTCCAACTGTATTCATTTAGGATTGCTCCTAGGAAACCGAGCAAATGTGACTCCTGCAGTGTTTGATGGCCTTTCCTTCAGTGAGTGCTTAACATTACAATCTGAGTGATGCCAGACAAGGAAGAAAGTTGAACAAAATTGTGATTCTTCAAATTATGCAGCTGAAATGAGGCCTGTGAGAAATTCATGCAAATAGAACCAAATTGTGGTAATATTTTACCATGCCCTGTACCACACAACCTGTTACAGATCAGGGCGGCCACTTATACATCACCAAAAACAGGAAAAAAGATAATAAACATGTGCATAAGCTAATGTATGGAAATAGTTTGGGAATAATTACTAAATCAATAGTAATGATTAGAAATATGAGGCATCTCCTATTGCAACCACCGTGCCTGCTGAATCTGCTGTCCAGGTGCTGACAGCTGATGAGGAACCTCAGGGCCTTCCACTTGCTCCTCCTCAGGGTTCATTATCTTTAAACCAGACTTAGAATGGATGGCTCTTCAAATGGAGGAAATAGACCCTGCTGAACAGCTCTTCAGACAACAGCCTGCTCTCTGTAGAGCAGCAGATATGGCCACCTTTGAGACACTGGGTGAAATATGACAGTGCTGGTCTTGTGTAACTGTTCGTGCTGCATCTCTGTAACTTTCATATCATCTTTCGCCCGTTTCTACCACAGATCCAAGGAGCCATCATCGTTGCCAGTCTGGTGGAAGTGGCAATTGGGTTGGTGGGCCTCCCTGGGGCCTTGCTCAGCTACATCGGGCCTCTCACCGTCACGCCCACTGTCTCCTTGATAGGTCTCTCCGTGTTCCAAGCTGCAGGGGACAGAGCTGGATCGCACTGGGGCACTGCAGCACTGTAGGCTCTGATTTCTCTGTACTGCAGAATTTCAGGCTCATACAAGAGTAGGGAAAAAACAAGCCCTGTAGAGTTGCAGAACTTTCATGGTATTTCATGGTATTTCAAAGGGATGGACTGCAGAGGTACAGCTGCCCAGATGCTGCCACGCCCCTCACTCCACTGCCCAGCCAACCCAGGTGAAGCAGTGTGTGAAGTGAAAGGTGGTTGTTCGTCAGCTGGTCAGATCTTCAGAAAGGAAGGGTGGGTGCATAGGTGAAAAGAGGAAGAACTAATTAGGATACGGTGCCGATGGTGATTTAAACCAAAAGGTCCTGGAGAAGTGTGCTCTGATGATTAAATGAGCAGGTCTGTAGCATGGTGACAATGTTGTTGCCCATACATAATCTTGACTTCTGTCTGATTTGTAGCTCTGCAATTCTGTTACAAATCTGGATGGAGATTTTGTGCTGAAACAAATATATGTGCAATGCTCAAATATGAGTGTGTATGTGTGAGAGAGAGGGTGCAGTGGCTTAATTAACATGGGTTAAAGGCAGTGAATACATACACACTCGTAACGTGTGTGTAAATGCATAGCCTTTAAACTGAGGATTCCAGCCCATTTGGCTGTCACATTCACTTGTATGTGATTTCTATTTATTGTGGTGAAGTTAGCTTTATGAATCTAATTTTGGAGACTTTCCCTTTGGATTTTCAATTTAATAAGAAATGTTTGCCAGTTGGTTAGTTAAAATGAAATTGTTCTGGGCTGAGCATGGAGGAAAAAGCTGTGGAAAGAATAGCATTGGACTTGCTTAGCCATTGTTTTGACAATTATTTCAGTAGAATTAAAGTTTCAAAATCAGAGTGTGTCTTGTATGTGAGCTCTGAGCACATTAACTCCAGTGCTGTTGTGGCCAATTTTGAAGTGCAGGCTGAACCCACCATGACAATCCCATAGACATGCCCTGAAGGAGAATCTGGAATTGTACAAAGTCACATTGACCCATATCTACAAACCTATTCCTAGGAGTTTTCTTTAGGTCTTTTGCACACCAATGGGCCTTTATTGCCCCTTCAAGACCAGGCCACCCTAAAATACTTTGCTTGATAGCAAGGAAAGAAAATATCATTCCTGGGAAAATTCATTTTCTCCCAGCTACCATGAGAATTGCAGTTAAGCTCAGAGTGAAGAGGAAATTCCTATGGGGCCATCACATGATGTGTAATACTAATGGGGAAAGTGGCAGCCCTATTCCCTGTGAGGTCTGGCCACCTTGAGCTGTTGTACCCTATTCCATATCCCATGTGAACAGGGTCAGCTCCAGTTCTGATCTTCATCTCTAGCTTATCTGGTAGTAGCAGCAGCAGTCCCAAGACTGGCTGGGAACTACCATTTCAATTTCCCACAATGCCCTGAAGTTTCCAACATAGTATCACTCCAGGGTACTTGTGGAAAATGAACATGCAGGCTTCCAGGTCTAGCTGTTTGATATGGAAGACCTGGGGCACAAATCAATGCTAGTGTGCACTGACATGGTACCAGGACAAAGAGAGCTATTGTGGGATTCCAGGTGCTGACCCTGGAAAATTATCTGAATCATATCCTGACACATTTGCCCCTATGATTGCAGATCCTAGTAAAATCAGAAGCAAAGGAAACAAAAATGGGTAATACCCAGAGAAAGCAAAGTTCAGTACCATTGACAACCATGGGGATGAAGGTTCAACTTTGAACTCACATAGGGTCAACTTTCTTATGGTCACCATTAGATGCAGTCTAATTAAAAAGGAGCATTGCAGTCTATATACTGCACTGAAGTGGGGACTTCTGGGATGTTGGCAAAAGGATACAAATTTGTAAAAGAATGGAACACTCAGCTGCACAGTTGGAATTAGTAAACACAAATGACTAATCCCAGTTGGAACAGATGTAAGTGACAAGCTTCCCATGCCAAGTTTTGTTTTAAAAATATGTAGAAGGAAATATTGCCTAGATAATGTGACATTCTTGGCACATTAGGCAAGAGAGTAGCAAAAGAAATCTCATTTAAAGTTATGTGAATTGGTTCCCATGTTTCTGCACCCAGCTTGTTCTTGATCTCTGTTTTTCATTATGCCTCTTTTCTCTGTTTAAACAGGTCAATTTTTTTAATTGTTTTGTTTGCCCAGTACCTACGAAATGTGTCTTTTCTCCTCCCTGGCTACAAATGGGGAAAAGGGTGCACTCTCATCCGGATACAGATCTTCAAGATGTTTCCGGTAAGGGGTGGCAGAGGTGGAGGGATGGCTCCCATTATGCATGGGCTGATAGGACAAGCTTGTCATGGTCACAGTTTGGTCAGATGCTGGTGATTTTATTAGCAAAGAGAGTTCATTTATTACATGTTTGTTCTATCTGTCCTCCAATATATGATAGATTGGGTACAGCAGTAGTTAGACTGGGGTGGGGGTGTAGCAGGTATATCAGTGTTTGTGATTATTGGCCATGATGGCAAGGACAAGGCCCAACCATCTGAAGATCTCTCTTCTGACATCCCTTGGTTTAGATGGCTCCCAGCCACCACCAATATTTTCCCATTTTGTGGACAGCTTAAACTGAAGGACGCCGACAGTGAGTTTCCAAGCTAAATGGGGGCTTGAGCATGAGTCTCCCCAGTCTGCGCAAGGCTGGGGAATTCATGGCCTTCCATATTTTTGAGCTGACAGCTCCTATCAGCCTTAGGAAACATAGCCAAGGGTAAGGGGAGTCATAAGCCAAAACATCTGGAGGGTCACATGCTGCCCACCCCTGGCATATAGGATAGGATCCTGGCTTTTGTTCCTGTTCTGACGCAGGACATTTTGCTATGGGAACCATCCATCAAGTAGCATAGTGCAAAGAGGGAAGAAATCAATGACAAAAGGAGGGATTGTGAATTGGTTAAAGTGGTGCTGAGTGTGATAGGCAGAAGGAAAATTCAAAATACAGTGGTACCTTGGCTCACGAACTTAATCCATTCCAGGACTCTGGTCGTGACCCAAATTGGTCGAGAGCCAAGTTACATTCCCCATAAGGTTCAATGTAAATAAGGTTAATCCGTTCTGTAACTATTTTTTTTTAATCAGAAAAATGTGAAGCAAAGTGATAAAGAATAACAAAGATTGCAGCCTTCTCCCTGCCACACCCCGAGCACAAGTGCAGCCGTCTCCCTGCCACCCCAGCACAACCACGATTGCACTCATTATCCCTGCACCCACCCATCATCCCGGTGCACTGGGGGGCGGGAGGGAGGAGACAGGCACGATCACAGGTGCACTGTGGGGGGGGGGGGAGATGGGTGCAAACATGGGTGCGTTGGAGGGGAGAGACGGGTGTGATCATGCTCAGGGGAGATGGCAGAGATCGTGGTTGTACTGGTGCAGGAAAGATGGGCGCAATCATGGGCGCGATTGTGCAGGAAAGACGGGTGCAATCTGGCCCTCTCCCCCCCGCCCCCAGCATGATTGTGGCTGTCTCCCCACTTGGGCAGGGGTGGGGAGATGGCAGCAAATATGGACGCCACCCAAGGTGGAGTTCGCCACCTGATTCAAAATTTTTATGAAATCGCGACCTGATCTGGTGGTGAACGGAGACTTTTGTGAGCCAAGGCACCACTGTATGTTATTTGCAGGCTATGAATCAAAGCAGGGATACATGTTTATTCAGAGGGGTGGGGGATCGTGTAGAAATGTTCCAAAACATGCTGATGGGATACTATTTAGGTTTGTATTGTGAGGTGATACATGATACCAGGAATTATCACAAAATGAAAAGAGAGCCAAGATGTGTTAAGATTAATAGTAAAGCAGAAAGATTCTGCTCCTGCTTCTCTTCTGAATTATTCTGGCTGAAATCCTGAGAAGTTTCCTAGCAGCAAGTCTCCTTGAATTCAGCAGGATTGGGATGTATGTGGCCTCAACAGAAGTTCAAAGACTATTTGTGTGATAAGTATGAGGTGCACAATTAATCATTTAGATGGTGCTTTCAGGAAATTAATTTGACCCTTCCTGCACTCGTTCTCATTCAGTCTGTACATATACATATATGGAAAGCAGTGGCACTATCTGCATCCCTCTGTATCTCCTCTTCAGATCATACTGGCCATTTTGGTGGTTTGGCTGTTGTGTTACATTCTGACAGTGACAGATGTGTTCCCTCGTGATGTAAATGCCTATGGATTCAGGGCAAGAACAGATGCCAGAGGGGAAATCATGTCAATTGCACCATGGTTCCGTCTTCCTTATCCTTGTAAGTAGTGGGTATTCCATTATGGATGTTCCATACCCCATTTTATTTTTAAGAAAAAAAAAAGGGTTATGGAAAGGTTATGGTATGAATGAGAAGCCCAAGGTTGTCCACTGAGCATCAAAGCTAAATGGGAATTAAAACAAGGATTTTTCATCTTACGGAACTTATGGTGTATGGAACAGTGGCAAACCTCCACTGCATTAAAACCAAAGTACCAGCTGAAACCAGTGAAAGGCAAAATCAAAACATCTTATCTCTATGAAATACTTGCCAGGGGCATATGTTGCAATATTTGTCAAAACTTTTCCTTAGACTATAAAAAAAAGAATTCAGATTATTTGTTATGATGAAGAATTCTAAAGAAAACATCTAAGCAGCCGGTAGATTCCTGCTGACTTTCAGTTTGAAAAGTAAAAGGAGCCTATGCACATTAAGTAGGCCCATTATTAGATTTAAATTTGAGGTTTGGAAAAATAATAAAATACTAAAACAAGAATGCAGATTTCTCTGACCAGCATACTGCTGCCCTCATCCATGTAATTTCAGAGGATGCCATACATCAATCAGGGCAGCCACCTGGTGCCCTTAATGCTCTGGCACTGGGTATATGAAGGATATCACATACAATAGGATGGAAATTGGATTTCTGTTTCTGTTTAGCATTTTTGTCCTTCTGATTGTAGACAGATATTTGAAAAACATTTTAGGGCATTGTCCAAAGACTGCTCCTGGTGAGGGTCTGTGCTCAGGACCATCCCCTCCTCTCTGTCTTGTCTCTGTGACCAAATCAGATATCTCCAGGAAGGGGCATACCCTTGGCCACTGGTGAGATCTGGATATTCAGGCTATTCAGGATATTCAGGGAAAGTAACCACACTCAGCCCAGTCTGAATCCCTATTTCTTGATCCACCTTCCATCTGGCCAGGAGTGCTTCCATCTTGTCTAGATTAAGCTTCAATTTGTTTGCCTTCATCCAGTCTGTTACTGTTGACAGACACTGATTTAGCAAAAAAACAGCTTCCTTGGCATGAGATGGAAAGGAGAAATGGAGTTGGGTATCATCAGTGCACTGGAGTGCCACTGAACTCCAAATCTCTCCCAGTGGCTTCCTGCATGTGTCAAATAGTGTGGAGAACAGAACAGATCCCTGAGGAGCTCCACAGGTCAACAGGCACCAACTTCTCAATCTGTTCCTCCAGGAAGGTATGCGGCCACTGTAGGACAGTGCCTCCCACTCCCATCCCAGTGAGGCACCCTAGAAGGATAGCATGAGCAATGGTAACAAAGCCTTTGAGAGGTCTAGCAGAACTGACAGAGACTCTCCCTCAGTCTGGTTTCTGGTGTAGGTCACCTGCTGGAGCTACCAAGGCAGTTTCTACCCCATAATCAGGTTGGAAGCCAGACTGAAATGGATCTAGATATGCTGCCTCACCCTGGAATTCTTGGAGTTGGGATGCCACCACACCTTCTAGTCTTTTGCCTAAAAATGGAAGACTGGTTGGTAATTATGCAATTTACTAGGATTCAAGGGGTCTCACCACTGCCTCCTTTCAAGCAGGCTAGAACCCTGCCTTGACTGAGACTTTGGCCACCCTGCATACCCCTCTGGTTGCTTTTATGAACCAAGAAGGACAAGTGTCTGGCATACACATGCAGATCTTACTGCTCCAAGGATCTTGTTCACATTCTCAGGCTGTACAGAGTGAAAAGTATCCAATAACACTGGAAAGACAGGAGCCAAAGTTACACCAGCTGCCTCTGTATCAACCAGTGTCGAGTTGGAGCAGAGCCAAGCAGCTTTCTCTGCAGCATTCTGAGCAAAGTGTTCACAGTGGTCTGTTGAAAGGTCTGAGTCCTCTTTTAGGCTGGCTTGTAAAGGACCCCTGACCACCCAGAACAGCTCTTGCAAATGCAGAGAAAAACCTCCTCTTGTCCTGCCACAGCATAGGTCTTCAAATACGCTCTAGCCCCCAAAGCCATCCCAGCTGTCTCACTTGTTTCACTGTCACCAGCCTCCTGGAAAAGCAGGGCGCTGGAGTGGTTCTACCTCATGAGCGTGACTGGCCATTTCTCCAGTGCAGAGATGGACCCACTAAGGGAAAACAGTTTCCTGCTCTGGCATAAAAGGGAGTCACCCCTGGGGCCAGGGCTGGGGCTTTGACCGCATGATTTTAAGTGTTAGAATTTAACATCTGCTCTCTGTCATTTGCCTAAGATGCCTTGACGTGAAGGCAGTGTACCGTATGCTTCAGCTAACAGCTGCTTTCCTTTGCTTATTGTAGGCCAGTGGGGAATTCCTACAGTGACAGCTGCTGCTGTGCTGGGAATGTTCAGTGCTACTTTGTCTGGGATCATCGAGTCCATTGGGGATTATTATGCTTGTGCTAGGCTTGCTGGTGCCCCACCTCCACCTGTGCATGCCATCAACAGGTAAGAGAGACACGACTTCTTGGCACTGCTTGGATATTTGATGCACAGTTCTGAACAACTTGTGAAAAATGACCATTCACAGTAGGTAAGGGAGTAAGTGCCTGGTAGAACTTGGTTTCACTGCGATGCCAGAACTATCCTCCCAGCTCACGGGGTGGGAGGAAGGGAAGAAGAGCTTTTTATAGAGTTATGCTGAGACAGCAAACCCTCGATGCATTTCAACCTCTGATTTGTTTACACAGTCAAGGAGTCAGTTCAAAAGACTGTAGTGTCTTTATGCTTTTCAAGTTTCTGAAGTAAGAAATCAGAATGTTTGTCACCCACTGGAGGACTGAGTAGTTTGTTCATGTGGCATAACATATGATAGAATTTTAAAAATCAGAGGGACATCTATATGTCACAGCAAAGACTGCCAAACATCTTATGGCACTGTAAAGACTAATAAATGTGTTAGGGCCATGGTTTCAAGGAGTACAGTTCATTCCAGCAGATGAATGAAGTGTTATCTTGAGTTCCAAGTTGATTTAAATGCACATGGAGTGATGTGGAAAGATTTTTAAGAGACAGAAATGAAATACAGAATATATAGAGAGTGATAAGTATCTTATTAACTGTGCCCATTCACACAACTGCTGTTGAGTGATAGCGCCATCATCCTTTTGCTATCCCAGGACACTTCGTCACTGAGCTTAAAGTGACCATTTTTGAACAAATGAACTTCAGAGAGAGATTTCAACTCAAAACAGTTGAGCTGCAGTTATCCAGGAGCTTCAGCTCCGTCTTGGCTTGAATAGGAACAAAGTGTGTGTGTGTGTGCATGCGTGCACATATGATCATGTAATCAACTCACCAATGCAAGGATATTTTTGTTATCATCTAACAATGGTTTTATGAAATGTCACTATTTGGCAATTATTGGTACAATTATAAGGAATGTATCACTTAAAATTATAATGCAAATAAGGTAATTATAACTCATCATTTCATGTGTGTGTATATATCTATTAGTGTGGTGGTGACGATATTGTCATTATATTCCATGTTTTTTCCTCTTGCAAGGAACCCAAGGTGGTTTTGATAGTTCTCCTCCTCTCTATTTTATCTTTACAAGAACCCTGTGAGGTAGGTTAGGTTGAGGGTCACTGGCGCAAGGATACCCAAGGAGATTCATAGGTGAGTGGGGACTAGAATCCAGATCTCTCAGGTCCTCAGGGTAAGACCCTCACTATCACATAGCATTAGTTCTCATATGGATAGACAGATCCCACAACTTTAATTTAGGGTAACCATAAGTCCACAGCAGCTGATGCCAAGATAAAATGGTGAGTTTTTAAGGTGCCACAAGGCTCTTTGTTGTTCTACAGTAAAAACGAATTAAGGTTTCCCACAAGCCAGGATAAGTAGCTGCTTCCATTTTGGATGATGAAGCAGCTGTGACCAGGCCTATGGCATGGCTGCTAACCTGAAGCTTGATGGAGCCAGGAAGGGCATTTGCTGCTATTTCTGGTGTGGTTGCTTCCATGCAGCTGGGTGGCAGTACCTGAAGAACAGGATGCATGGCAGGACTTGCGATCGAGCAATGCCACAGCCTGGTTGGTCTTTGGGCACAAACAAGTAATCCCATTTGTATGGCCTCTGTCTATGGTCTGCTTTTCAAAGTTACGGAGTTTATGCTTTTAAATATTGTTTGCAATTGATTTATGAAGTTTTAATAGTATACTTCACCATAGGGCCTTTGAAGGCAGAGCATTTTTCAGTCAAAGTAATGCAAAAATACAATTTCTTTTTTGTAATGCTTTGCTGTTGGGAAGAGAAAGAGACATGGAAAACCTAATGTGGTCATTCCTCTCCACACATACTTCTACATGTCATGAGTGGGGCCGGCTAATGCTAGGGGTCAGACTAGATGGCCTGGGAGACCCCTTCTGACTTGCTCTGTTTCTATGTATCTATGTTTCCCTTTAGGGGCATTTTTACAGAAGGAATCTCTTGCATAATTGCGGGGCTGCTGGGCACTGGCAATGGTTCTACTTCCTCGAGTCCTAACATCGGAGTCTTGGGCATCACCAAGGTACTGCACTGCAACATTTGATAGCATCTTCTGCTTCTAGAATCTTGCTGGATTCCTGCCAGTCGTGGTCCACGGGGGTGTGCTGGCAGGAGATGCGGGGGCATCTGCTGGAGATGAACACAGCTGCCAGTTTCTCTGCTGTGCTTCAGGGAGAGCGCAAGTCTTCCAGTATATTGCACCTGCGCAATACAAGCAGCAGATTTTAATCTTTCAGCCACAACTTAGTCTGGGCTTCAGGTTTCTCTGACTTAATTCATAATGACCAATTACCAGAGGAACCACAGAAATAATCTCGTGTTTTTTGGATAGAAAACACTGCCTTGAGGGCTGGTTTAGGAACATAAGAAGCTACTTTATATTTCTAAGTAAGTTGCATACTCTGTGAGTCTGTGGCAAATCTGAGGAGCTGTCCTGGACATAGCTGTGACGGGACTGCTGTGAGCCAAACAGAAGTTCCACCCTTGGCCTCTCAAACGATTCTAGAATAGTTTCATTGGCAGACTTCTGTGCCCAAGTTACACCTGCACATTAAGGAATGCAAAAGCATCCTCTTAAGGCACCATGGCTCGCACACAGAGGACATGATCGGTATGCAGAAGATTCCAAATTCAGTCCTTGGTATCTGCAGTTAAAAGGACTGGGTGATGTTAATGTCCTTGCCAAGGGCACCGCTGGTCAGAGTAGACTGGTGTAGGCATTGTGGTGGCCCTGGGCACCAATAAGCACTCGGGCACTTTTCTTGGGGGCCAAGTGGGAACTTCCAACTGCTACCATCTTAATTAACCATGGACAGGATTAGGTAGCCAGTTTGACCCTTGTGACTAGACATGCAATGCACTGCCTGTACAGCTGAAGCTGCTACAACAGGTTAATAAGACTGGCAGGAAAACATAAACCACAGGTAAAATGGAGAGGTTCTCCATGGTAGGACATTTTGGAGGGCTTTCATTCACAGGGTCGCTATGAGTCAAAGAGGACTTGACAGCACGCAACAGCAACATGGCATATATAGGACAATTTCCCCTTATCCCAGTGCAGAGGCACCATTCTCACTCCACATGCAAGGGACTAAGCAAAGAGGGCTTGTTTCCTCTGATGGCATGACCAGATGGGTGTTTAGACCAAATGTGATGTTCTTCAAGGCCATACAGCAGGTTTTCTGAGTAGCAGCCCTGCTGTTGATAATGACTGAATGTACAGCAATGCAAGCAAACTACTTCCCAAGTATAATTTATTTTAGTGGGAGAGGTTCTGTCCTATATTAAATATACCCACTGAACTCAATGACTCCATCTAGCCACCTCATTCTCTGCCATCCCCTTCTTCTTTTGCCATCTATTGTTCCCAGCATTAGGCTCTTCTCCAGGGAGTCCTTCCTTCTCATTAGGTGGCCAAAGTATTTGAGTTTCATCTTCAGTATCTGGCCTTCTAAAGTGCAGTCAGGGTTGATCTCCTCTAGGACCGACTGGTTTGATCACCTTGCAGTCCAAGGGACTCGCAGGAGTCTCCTCCAGCACCACAATTCAAAGGCCTTAGTTCTTCGGTGCTCAGCCTTCCTTATGGTCCAACGTTCACAGCCATACATTGCAACTGGGAAAACCATTGCCTTGACTATACGCACTTTTGTTGGCAGGGTGATGTCTCTGCTTTTTAGTATGCTGTCTAGATTTGCCATAGCTTTCCTCCCCAGGAGAAAGCGTCTTTTAATTTCTTGGCTGCAGTCCCCATCTGCGGTGCCCAGGAAAATAAAATCTGTCACTACCTCCATTTCTTCCCCATCTATTTGCCAGGAAGTGAGAAGACTGGATGCCATGATCTTAGTTTTCTTAATGTTGAGTTTCAAGCCAACTTTTGTGCTCTCCTCTTTCACCCTCATCAAGAGGTTCCTCTTCACTTTCTGCTATTAGAATGGCATCATCTGCATATCTGAGGTTGTTGCTATTTCTCCCAGCAATCTTAATTCCAACTGGTGATTCATCTAGCCCCGCCTTTCTCATGATGTGCTCTGCATATAAGTTAAATAGGCAGGGCAACAGTATACAGGCTTGCTGAACTCATTCTCAATTTTGAACCAATCAGTGGTTCTGTGTCCAGTTCTCACCGTTGCTTCTTGACCCGCATATAGGTTTCTTAAGAGACAAATAAGATGGTCTGGTACTCCCATCTCTTTAAGAACTTGCCACAATTTGTTGTGATCCACACAATCAAAGGCTTTAGCATAGTCAATGAAGCAGAAGTAGATGTTTTTCTGGAACTCCCTAGCTTTCTCCATGATTCAGAGTATGTTGGCAATTTGACCTCTAGTTCCTCTGTCTCTTCGAAATCCTGACTGTACTTCTGTTAGTTCTTGGTCCACATACTGCTGGAGCCTAGCTTGTAGGATTTTGAGCATAACTTTGATAGCATGTGAAATGAGTGCAATGGTGCGGTAGTTTGAACATTTTTGGCATTGCCCTTCTTTGGGATGGGAATGTAAACTGACCTTTTCCAATCCTGTGGCCACTATTGAGTTTTCCAAGTTTGCTGGCATATTGAGTGTAGCACTTTTACTGCATCGTCTTTTCGGATTTTGAATAGCTCAGCTGGAATACTGTCACCTCCACAGCTTTGTTGTTGCTCAGACTTCCTAAGGCCCATTTGACTTCACATTCCAGGATGTCTGGCTCGAGGTCAGTGACCACCCCATCGTGGTTATCAGGGATGTTAAGCTCTTTCTTGTATAGTTCCTCTGTGTAATCTTGCCATCTCTTCTTAATCTCTTCTGCCTCTGTTAAGTCTCTGCCATTTTGGTCCTTTATCATGCCCATCTTTGCATGAAGCGTTCCCTTCATATCTCCAATTTTCTTGAAGAGATCTCTGGTCCTCCCCATTCTATTGTTTTCTTCTATTTCTTTGCACTGTTTATTTAAGAAGGCATTCTTATCTCTTCCAGCTATTCTCTGGAATTCTGCATTCCATTGGGTGTATCTTTCTCTTTCTCCCTTGACTTTCGCTTCCCTTCTTTCCTCAGGTATTTGTGTTTTTTTTAAAATAAGTTTTATTTGAAATTATAATCCTAAAAAACAAAACTAAAAACTAAAAACAACATCCATCATCAAAAACATTGGGCCCTCTGGGTCAGCCCCCACACCCTTCTTTTTCCATTTACGATTACTTAAAAACATATTTAAATCTATGTAAAGTCCCGTTTCTCTAACCAATAATAAAAAGAGTCCCAAGTTTGATAGAAGTCAGTATCTTCCTTCTCCTTCAATGATAAAGTCAATCTATCCATTTCTGCACAGTCCAGGATCTTTTTTAGAATCAGTTCGCCAGTGGGTAGTTCTTCACTTTTCCAGTGCTGAGCAAATGCAATCCTCGCCACAGTCTTTCCTCAGCTATTTGTAAAGCTTCCTCAGACAGCCATTTTGCTTTCTTGCATTTCTTTTTCTTTGGGATGGTTTTAGTTGCTACCTCTTGGACAATGTTGTGGACCTCCGTCCATAGTTCTTCAGGCACTCTGTCTATCAGATCTAATTCCTTAAAGCTATTTGTCACCTCTACTGTATATTCATCAGGGATATGATTTAGCTCATACCCAAGTGGCCTAGTGCTTTTCCCTACTTTCTTCAATTTAAGCCTAAATTTTGCAACAAGAAGCTCATGATCTGAGCCACAGTCAGCTCCTTGTCTAGTTTTAACTGACTGTATAGAGCTTCTCTATCTTTGGCTGCAGAGCACATAGTCAATCTGGTTTCTGTGTTGACCGTCTGGTGATGTCCATGTGAAGTCGTCTCTTGGGTTGTTGGAAAAGAGTGTTTGCTATGACCATCGTATTCTCTTGACAAAATTCTACCAGCCTGTGCCCTGCTTCATTTTGTACTCCAAGGCCAAACTTGCCTGTTATTCCAGTTATCTTTTGGCTTCCTACTTTAGCATTTCAATCCCCCATGATGATAAGGACATCATTTTTTGGTGTTAATTCTAGAAGGTGTTGTAGGCCTTCATAGAACCGGTCAACTTCAGCCTCTTCAGCACCAGTGGTTGGGGCATAGACTTGGACTACTGTGATGTTGAATGGTTTGCCTTCGATTCAAACTGAGATCATTCTGTCATTTTGGAGATTGTATCCCAGTACTGCTTTTCCTACTCTTTTATTGACTATGAAGGCTACTCCATTTCTTCTGAGGGATTCTTGCCCACAGTAGTATGCCTGATGGTCATCTGAATTAAATTCACCCATTCCTGTCCATTTTAGTCCACTGATTCCTAAGATGTCGATGTTCAGTCTTGTCATCTCTTGTTTGACCACATCCAGCTTGCCTTGATTCATGGATCTAACATTCCAGGTTCCTATGGAGTATAGATCTTTACAGCATTGGACCCTCCTTTCACCACCAGATACATCTGCAACTGAGTGTCCTTTCGGCTTTGACCCAGTCACTTCATTCTTTCTGGCGCTACTAGTACAAGTCCTCCGCTCTTCCCCAATAGCATATTGGACACCTTCCAACCTGAGGGGCTCATCTTCCGGCGTCATATCTTTTTGCCTTTTGGTACTGTCCATGGGGTTTTCATGGCAGACATACTGGAGTGGGTTGCCATTTCCTTCTCCAGTGGATCATGTTTTGTCAGAGCTCTCTGCTATGACCTGTCCGTCTTGGGCGGCCCTGCACGGCATAGCTCATAGCTTCATTGAGATACACAAGCCCCTTTGCCACGGGATCCATGAAGGAGGGAACATCCCTACAATAGAGATTTTTGTTCTCCAGGATTCATCATGAACTTTTTGAAAGAACTGTTAAAAATAGCTGCGTCCTTTATGCCCTCTTGAAGATAGTCTTATTACTGGATAGACATGAATAGTATTATTACTGGATAGACATGAATAGAATTGAACTCACTGTTCACATCTGGAGAATTAAATATGAATTGCTATCTCGGTTACAAACAGAAATCCTACGAAAAGGTTAAAGTCTACATGAGGCAGGTGCCAGAAGAGAAACAGGGCTAGGGGAGGCCACTCCTATCCTATGGATGCAATCCTATGCATGTTTAGACAGAAAAGAGTGCTACCACTACCATCATTCCCCAGCCAGTTGGAGCATTTCCCAGGTAGCTTGAATGCTGGAAATTGTAGGTTGTTTTCTATGTAAACAAGCATAGGACTGTGTTCTGATAGGCTCTTAGTGTAGCTATAGTTCAACAGCCAACACACAGATACAACAGAAGAAAGGGCATTGCGGCATAGAGAGGATTGGGAATGTTGTGAAGGACTGACAGCATGACAGCATGGTGACTAACTGGCTGTTATTTGTGTGGCTGGTTGTCCTGTACAGGTGGGCAGCAGGAAAGTGGTACAGTATGGTGCTGTGATCATGCTCATCTTAGGAACCATTGGCAAGTTTACAGCTCTGTTTGCCTCACTGCCCGACCCCATCCTTGGAGGGATGTTTTGTACATTGTTTGGTAAGTGATTGTAATGCCAATGAAGCACCAAAGCAGACAGATGTGGAGTGGGTTGCAAAAAGAGATTTATTCTGGGTTGTTTGGCTTCTATTTATATAATTTAAGAAGATGGGAGTGCCTGCCAGAATTTCCTCCTTCTTTTTGGTGAGGTGTAATCCACTGGAAGGGGCAGGTGGGACCGTATGTAAATAGATTTCTGAACACCAACAATTTGAATAGCCTTGTAGGAGCATTCCAAGTTATTGAACTATGTATATTACATTGCTTATTGTTGTTACCATGTTATTTCTGTAAAAACATGCATGAATTGTAAAATGGAAAATTGATAAAAGATTTTAAAAAATAATATTGTTGTACAAAATACAGACAGCAAGAGATGATGATGATGGTGATGATTAATAGTGCACTGCCAGCATATGAGGAAAGGTAAATAATACTGGCATAGTTATTTAATAATACACTAGTGTGGAGATCTCTTGAAATATTTGGTCATCATCCAAACATAAATTTTAGGATCAGTGTTTCTGGCAGATTAGTAAGACTGTTTTAGAAACTTGAAGGGAAAAAGAATCCCAGCCCTCATGACTGAGGGGAAAAGCATGGCAAGTAAAAGTAGAATGTTATCTCTTTGTAGGCTAATGGTAAATGAAAGATAATGTGAGATGCCAGGTAATCTCTTGCAGATAGGAGAGGCATGTCAAGTAGCTCAGGTGGCAATAATAAAACAAGTCCGGGAAGGCCAAAACCACAACTGTGCCTTTACTGGACTGAAGCAGAGCCAGCCTAGAGCAACTTCAGCCACAGCTGCTCCTGAACAAGAAGCAAAGTTAAAACTGTCATGATTTGATTTCCTGGCAACGGTTTATGTGTGTTTGGTGTGAGACTGTGATTTGTTATTCAGAATAGGCATGATATAAATGAAACTTTTAGACATGGCTACATTAAGATCATTGAATTAAATTACTGATTAAATCTGCAGCAGTCAGATTAATAACTGGGATCTGCAGGTCTGAACATATAAGACAGGTTCAGGCCCACCTGCATTGGCTGTCTGTATGTTTCTGATTTCAATGGAAGGTGCTGGTTTTAACCTATAAAGCCTTACACAGCTTGGGGCCACAAAACCTGTCAGAGTGTCTCTCCCAACCTTATCTAACTGGCTCAACCTCTGGGGTCTTCCTCTGAGTGCCACCTTGAGAGGTTTTAAAAAATCTCCTTGGTCATCCAGGGGCCTGATAGGATTATCCTGGTAATTCTTGCTGGATCTTTTTATTGTACTTTACTGTATTTTAAAGCTATTTTAACTCTTTTTTATAATAAGTTTTATTCAAAATAACCCTAAAACAAAGAAAAACTAAAAACAACATCAATCATCAGAAACATCGGACCTGCTGGGTCAGCCCCCACATTTTTTCCATTTATGATAACTTAGAAACATATTTAAATCTATACAAAGTCTCATTTCTCTAGCCAATAATAAAGAGTCCCAAATTTGATAGAAACCAGTATCTTCTTTCTCCTTCAATGACAAAGTCAATCTATCCATTTCTGTAAAGTCCAAGATCTTTTTTAGGATCAGTTCATCGGTGGGTGGTTCTTCACTTTTCCAGTGTTGAGCAAATGCAATCCTCGCTGCAGTAATTACATGTGAAATCAAGTACATTTCTTGTTTACCAATATCAACAGGTATAATGCCTAATAAGAAGACTTCAGGTTTAAAAGCTAAGGATTTTTGTAACATTTCCTCAAGCCATTTATGTATTTTAATCCAATACTTTTTTGCATTATCACAAGTCCACCACATATGATAGAAGGTACCCAATTTATGTTTACATTTTCAACATCCATTTGACATATTTGGAAACATCTTAGCTAATCAATTTGCTACAGAAACCATCTAAAACATTTTATACAAGTTTTCTTTATACGAAGTTGCTAATGTTACCTTAATATTTAAAGCTATTTTAACTCTTAATATGGTTGTTTTATACCTTGCTGTAAACCACCCAGAGAGCCTCATCTATAGGGTGGTAAAGAAATGAAATTGATGATGGTGATGGTGATGGTGATGGTGATGAAGTGTATTTAGCAAAGTTATGAAAAACAAAAACAAATTTTTAGTAGTTTATAAAGCATGTTGTGGATTCTCTTAACAGTAGAGTATTATGTCTGTGTTTATCTGTTAAGACTGGAATCCAATTCTTTTATACGTGGAAATCTCATTGGACTCAATGGGAATTACTTTTGAGTACAAATGTATAGGATTGCACTGTCAGAGTAGGGACAAAGGAGAGTTTGACCTTTGGAACAGCTGCACCCGGGGGTTTCCTGGTATCTATCCTGAATGCTTGCCTATTATTCTATTATTTTCAGTGCCAAGTGAATATATTTTATTTGTCCAAGCCTTAATTAAACTGTGGTCAGCCTTCTGAAAACTGGAGCTTTTCAGATGTTTTTGACTTCAACATCAATGAGTTCCAAATGCTTGGAACTTGTGAGAATTTTTCTCCAAAACATCTGGATGACACCAGTTTGAAGAAGGCTGAATTAGGTTTAATTCTGCTCATGTGGTTTTATGCTTTCTTTGCCCTGGTGTTTTTAAAAATGTTTTGACATTACAAATTATTACGTATTTTATGATTTTGTGACAATTTAATGGTTATTGTGATCTGGTAGTAAGCTGGAGAAGAAATAAAGTTTATCTTTAGGGGAAATTGTGAGATTGTAGCATGAGTGCAGGCAATGCATAAGCCTGGATCTCATGTCATCCTTTGACTCAGCTCTGTTTTTGTATAAAGAGAAAGGATAAACAGAACGGCCTACAAACTGTTTATGTGGATGTGGCTGCTGATTACAAGATTAGATTTTCCGCTTGTCTGCTGTTGATTTCTAAGAGTAATTCAACTTAGTTAGACCTCTGATTTTGAAACTGAGAACTTTGCTCGTGACATTTGCCTACTGCCCATAAAGCCTGAGAATGAGGTCCTGCTAACTGCACACAACTTGATAAATATGGCCAAAACCCATACAAAGGACTAGGCAACTGTAGGAAGTGAACCTTTCATGTGAAGAGGTGGTGGGGTGCTTAGTATTTTTTCCACCAAATGTGTCTTCCCAGCAGCTCCCTCTTCCTCTATGGTTTGAAATGTAAAATTTACCCTTATGAACACATGAGTTGAATCTCATGGGAGAAAAGTTCACTTGAGGGGATGATCTGGAGCAGGAAAAGATTAACCATCCCCTTCCTCTTTTGCTGCTTTTCCACTCTAAAATCCCTCCCCCAAAGTGGCACTAATCCAAAACATCAGGGCACTGCTCTATGCATCACCATGGAACATGCAATTAACTCTGCACTCCTACGGGGCAAGCTCCACACATTTGCTCAGGGATTCTGTATTTTTTCACTCTCTTGGACCAAGCCCTATGTTCAAATTACACTCTGATTTTCACCTGGCCATTTCTACAGAGGTACCATCCTGGAATTCAGGCCCTTGGGATGGCATTTACAGTCCTCCGATGCAGCTTCGTGCTTAACTTCAGCCTCACAACCCCTTCCCACAGGTCTGCCATGCATTTATTTAAAAAAACTGAATTTCACCTTTTTTCTGCTTTGCAGGCATGATCACAGCAGTGGGGCTCTCCAATCTACAGTTTGTTGACATGAACTCTTCCCGCAACCTTTTTGTCCTTGGCTTTGCAATGTTTTTTGGGCTTACCCTTCCAAACTACATTGATTCACACCCAAATGCTGTCAACACAGGTACTGAAAAACCACACAGGCTGTGCCTAATCAGAGAGATGAAATGCCTGCTGGATTTGTGCAGTAAGGGATCTGTCACTGGGCTGAATGAGGCTTCTGCCGTAGGAAGATGCTGGGGGTGAGAATGGACATGCCATCTGAGCTTCTCCTGGCTGTTCCCATTCTCCCAAATTGATGCAGTTTGTTTGTTCATGGTGGGAACTGAGTGCACGTCTCGCCAAGCTGCCTTCTTTGAACTCAGTACAGACAAGTCCACTGTCTGAACAAGTAGGCAGAAAGTCATACAAATCAAGAACTTTCTTCCTTATGACCTGGCTTTCTAAAATTCGGTACCAGGGGTTTCCCTGAATAGCTTGATTTGGAATTCAGAGCATATAGGATCAATAGACATTCGCTGCTTATACCTTATCCACTATCACATCAAGTTTGTTCTAGCCTCTGCAGTTTAATGATTTGACTTCTAAATTATAAGCCAGTGTTAGCATATTATAATTCACCAGGATATAAAATATTGCATATCCTCTTGTGCAATACTGTAGAACATTTCATTTGGTTGATAAATTGGTTCATTTGGGTACCATGTGTTTGGAACCCCACTCAGATGAGATTGGTAGTCATTGTTCTTGCTGTCAAGGACACTGTCTGCCATTGGCACTTAAAGTGCTTTTTAACATCCAGTTAATAATAATTATCTGAAGATCCTTTACCAATTGTAATTCAACCTGTGTCATATATGTCATCATTTGTCTTTGTCGAACTGTTTGACTGTAGAATAGACTGTCTCAGGAGATAATGAACTTTCCTTTACTGGATATCCGGGATGCCACAACGCTGTAAATGCCCAAGCCATTTTGCTGCATGAGATAAAAAAACAAGATGGCATTTCCTTCTGCTCCGTGTATAGAAGCCAGATGGACTGGCAATTAAATCTAATTTCAGCTCTTCACAAGATAAAAGTCTTCCACCACACCTGAGAGCAGCAAGTTAAATTAAGGGGTTATGAGAGGCTATGTGGCATACATCATTTTGTCTTCCATGTAAGCAAAGTAGTGCAGAGGCTCAGTACGAATGTCTGTAGAACTGTCATTCTGTCTTCCCACGTTTCATTCCACCTAATGGTTTGACTGGCCTCCGTAAAGCAGGCTGTGCTTGATGCCTTCAGGGTTCCTTCCAACTCCATGCTTCTAAAGGGCATTTGTGGTACATGTAATTGGGTTTTCATGACACAAGAACACTCTACCCTCCTATAGCAGGCTACTTTTTACAGACCGCCTCCCTCCCTAAAAGTGTGGGGAAGTGGTGTGGACACAGCTTGCCACTCTCAATGTGATTGCAAGCAAGGAAATGCCAAATAGGGCTTACATGAAGGCTTCTCCAGTCAGGTCTCTCTGTCACTTTTCTTTCCAGGAAAAGAATTTAGTTTTAGAAAAAGGAATTTAGTACATTTTTCATAGAAGAAATTAATGCAGGGAGTAAAATTACAGGAAAAACTATGCATATCAATTTGTGGGTGGATTTTTAAAAATATCTAAATTGTAACTTAATTCCGTATGTTCACGCTCTCAATTTTTTGTAGGCATTGCTGAAGTGAACCAAATATTAAAAGTGCTGTTAAGCACAGAAATGTTTGTTGGAGGCAGCATTGCATTCATACTGGACAACACCATTCCAGGTACCTTTCACTCTTTTGAAGTATCCTTTGTTTCATTATCTTGAGTGCACAGAATCATAGGGACACAAAGCAGATCCAGAACAACCCAGTCCACGTGCTTGCACTGCACAGAGCCCAGAAAAAAACTTGGTTTTTCTTGCTGCCATTAGCATCAGTGTTTTCAGTGTATCATAGTGACTCTATGATTGCAGAACATTTGGATGGACTGGGACATGGCAACCCATCATGAGGAAGCCATCTCTTTAACATCAGGCACACTCCTGACTGTCCTGGCTGGGGCAGAGAGCAGCAGCTTCCCCACCACCTGCCATTGATTCCAGGGGCTGTGGTCAGGTTCCCCAAAGCCCTGGCTTTCATGTTGGCGATCCTCTTCTCTGTCAGATCCTTCCCATGTGTGCACACAGTGGGGCAATTTCTCTCCCCTTCCCCAACTTTTGACAGGCTGTTGCTTCCCCACATAGGCACTCTTCTTCCCAGGGGAGAAAGGTGAGCTGTGTCCACCCTTAAACCCCTGCCTCTGCCCCAGACTGTAGGAGTTAAGCTCCTTTCCTGCTCGCTGAGTCTTGCTTTCCTACCACTTCTGTCTTCCTGTTGCCATTTTCCTCTCTCAGCATCGTGTCCACCTCCCCATCCCTTTCCTTACTCTCCTCTTCATTCCTCCTGCACTGCACTGCCCTGCCTCCACTCTCTCCTCCAGGTGTTCCTTTCCTGGGGAAAGCACCTGCACACCTGGGTGCTCAGTGTTGGGCTGTGTGTATGCCTCCCCCAGCCAATGCCCCATTGCCGAAGGTCTTGCCATCCCAGGAGCTGGCTCCATTCTCTCTTTGCACTCCATGGCACATCCCCCTTGGCTGGCTGCTGGGTAGATGGCAAGCCCTGCCAACATTGACCTTCTTACTAAAATATTTAATGTGTCCCTAAACGATTGGAGAATGGCCAATATAACACTAATTTTAAAAAAGGGATCCAGGGGGATCCAGGAAATTACAGGCCAGTTAACTTAATACGTGTTCTGGGTAAACAGCGTGAAAGCATTATTAAAACCACTAAGCACATAGAAAGGCAAGCAGGGCTTTTTAAAAGCATGGCTTCCCCTAAGGATAAGTCTCATCTCAGTATCCCATTGGAGTTAAGTGTGTCAATAAGCAGGTAGAAAGAAATGATTCAGTAGACATTGTTTACTTGGATGTCGAAATGGCTCTTTGTCAAAGTCCTTCACTAAAGGCTCCTGAGCAAACTAAGCAGTCACAGAATAAAAGAGGGGGAGGTCCTTTTATTACTATCTAGTTAAAGAACAGAAGATAAAGGGTGAGAACAAATGGCAATTTTTCCCAATGGAGAGATGTTACCAGTGGAGTCCCACAGGGTTGTTTTAGGACCAATGTTTTTCAACCTATTCATAAATGATCTTGAATTAGAAGTTAAGTAGTACAGTGTCCAATTTTGCTAATGACATCAAACTATTGAAGATGGTTTAAACCACAAGTTATTGTAAGGAGTTCCAAAAAGATCCCCCATGCTGGGAGAATGGGCATCAAAATGGCAAACACAGTTCAGTGTAAGCAAGTGTAAAGTAATGCATGTTGGGGCAGAAAAATCCCAACTTCAAGTATATACTGATGGGATCTGAGATGGCAGTGTCTGAACAAGAAAGTGGTCTTAGGATAGTGGTGGACAGCTTGATGAAAATGTGCAATTGCTGTGAAAAAGGAAAACACCATGCTAGGAATGGAATATAGAACTGCCAAGATCTTACTCGCATTATAAAAAACCTTGGTGTGACCTTACTTAGAATATTGTGTTCTGAGTTGGAAAAGTACAGAGAAGGGCAATGAAAATGATGAGGTTGGAGCAGCTTCTCTATGAGAAGCAGCTACAACAACTGGGACTGTTTCGAAAGGGAAATAAGAGGAGACATAATAATAGAGGTGTTTAAAATAATATATGAGAAAGTGGAGGGAGACATTCTTCTCCTTCTCCCGTAACACTCAAAGCTGGGGACATCACATGAAACTGATTGGTGGGATGTTTAGGACAGATAAGTACCTCTTCATACAACATAGTGTTAAATTATCAATTCCCTGCCATGGGAAGTTGTGATGGCCACTAGACTGGATAGCCTTAAAAGGACAGATTCATCAGTAGTTACTGGCCTCACTGGTTATGTGCTACCTCCTTTATCAGAGCTGGCATGCCCATATACACCAGCTGCAGATGAGTTTGGCTAAGCAGAGGTCTTGCACGCATCTTGCTCGAGTGATTCTGTGGGAAGCTGGTTTGCTGTGTGTATGGAGTATTTGGTCTGATCCAGCATGGCTCTCTTATGTTGTTAAGTCCTTTAAGGAATGGAATCTTGTTATTTTGTTCATCTGAATTTTTATCATCTTGCATTCCCCACCCTAACCCCCAGGCACTGAAGAGGAACGTGGTTTAGTACAGTGGAAGGCTGGAGCACGTGCCAACAGTGACACATCTGAAAAACTGAAGAGTTACGATTTTCCATTTGGGATGGGTATAATTAGAAAGATTCAGTGGCTAAAATATGTACCAGTGTGCCCAGTGTTCATGGGCTTTAACTTTAGAACAAAGATGGATCCCACTACCTCAGAACAGATACCAGATGCAACAGATATCACAGTCATATGCACAAAGGTCTGAAGAGACTACCAGAAAGCATCTTGAAAGGTTGGACAACCACCTTTCATGGAAAGAGACTATATGAAGCACCAGTGTATTTGGATCATTTCCAGTGGAAATGCCTCAAGTAAAGCAGGTTCAATGACAGATTCACATAGGACGGCATGTCTCAAAGTTTCTTTTTCACTTTTCCCATTAAAATAAAGTACTTAAAAGTACACACAGAATCCTTCTATAATCTTGCCCCCAAGATACTCTTATTTACAGACAATAATTTCCTTCATTCTGAATTGTGCTCCTTCATTGTAACAAGGCTGGGTGTGTGTGTTTTAGGTCTATGATTTAATTTTGGAAGACAATTAGCAGGGCTATGCAAATTGTGCAGTAATTTTTTAAAAATTCCCAATCAAAATTATGCAATCAAGTCTAGTTACCTTACATTTGCTTTGATTTTATGTAAAATTGCAATTCACATTTAAGTTATTGGAACTTTTTTCTAGTGAGAAGTTATATAAGAGATGGAAGATAGGCTTCACCTGCACTTCCAGGCTTTGCTAAACAAATATGATTTGCTGTGAACATTCAGAAGAGCTATACAGTTAATTAGCAGGTCATTGCTGCTAACAAGTGCAAACTAACCAAGACCTCAACCCCAAATCACATTGCTATGAAAGCTAGACTGTGTAATTAAGCAGTTAATAGTATTTTTTTTGGATGTCTTCATACAAATATTCTAACTTGCCATACAGTCTATATTTTGTTCTTTGATAATACAACCATACAACTTGCTAGAAAAATATAACATGTGATATTTATTAACTATAAAATTACATTCTAAGGCTTTTGGTTAGAATGCAAAAGCTTCACTTATGCTACTTGAGGTTTCCTTTTTCCCTCATTAAGCAGCTTTTTGTTCTCTAAAGTTGAAGCTGCAGTCTAGAATATACTGAAGGGATGTGTTGCTAATGAATGGGATCAGTTCTTGTTGGATGAAAAAGCAGGGCTGAGAAGTGCATGTTACATGTTAGAATCCAAAGCACCTGAAGAAGGGTCCAGGTTTTTTTTTTTAAAGCTCAACTGTCTTTTTAAAAGTTAGCCTTCAGTGCTGTCATCTTTTAAGAAATGCAGGTGCATACTCATTGGTGCAGGTGCCCAGCACAGGTGCGCCTACTTGCAGAACGGGGTCTTTTTTTCCCCTCTCCTCTAAATTGCAGTCCTCCCTCCCTCCAAATCTTCTCATGACTGTCCCCTGCTATACTGATTTTGAACCAAGTTATATGAATATGATTATTCTGACTCTCTAATTGTAACATAATTGCAGAAATAATCAACGTAACTAATCTTTTCCAGCAGAAACTCCTGTGCTCCTGCATCTAGTTATGGCTTACTTGCAAGTAACTGGGCATCACGCTTCAGCCACTTACAGCAAGTTAAATTAGACATGAGGGGTTCATGGAAACATGCTCCAAACTGTTTGTATTTGGCATAATGGCAAATAAAAATTATGGTTAGAAAGAGGCAACATTCACTCAAGCCCATTTCCACCATGGTTTGCTTCATGGAATCCAAGTGGGGCCAATAAAGCTGTTGGTCCTGTGCCATGCTCAGTGGAGGATACCAAGTTAAAGCATCCTTAAGAGATGGATGTTCAGCTGCATTGTGAAAAGCTCCAGTGTAGGAAAGCCCATGACATCCCTACACAATTGGTTCTGTTGTAATATATCATGTAACAGGTTATTCCTCTTGTTCAGCCAGAATCTGGCTTCCTTTTAATACATTATTCTGGGTCCTGTTCTCTGGGATGAGCAAGCGCTCCTGGCCCTCCTCTGTGTCAGCCTTTCAAGTACTTGAAAAATGCTATCATCTCTCTCCTCAGTATTTTCAAGGATAAACATACTCTGTTCTTCTAGTTTCTCACCATATGGTTTTGTTTCCAGTCTTCTGATTATCTTAGTTGTGCTCCTCTAAAGCTTTGTTTAGAGGAGTCTGTCTCTTTCTTAAACTGCAGTGCCCAGCACTTAATGCTGTACTCAAGATGAGGCCTAAGCTGGGATGAGTAGAAGGAAACTAGTATTTCAAATGATTTGGATGCAGCCCAGTATAGAATTTGCTTCTTCACAGACACATCACTTAGTTCAGTAATATTCAGCTTGTGATCTCAACAATTCCAAGATCTTTCTGGCTTGTTGTATTGTTGAGCCCAGTAGCTCCCTGTCTTGTAACAATGTGTTTCATTTCTTTTTCCTAGCTGCAGTACTTCACATTTGTCTCTATTATATTTCTTTCTGTTGTTTCTCTTGCCTTAACATCCCAACCTATCAAGATCACTCTGAATTTTGTTTCTGTCTTCCAGAGTATTACCTGTCCTACACAGATTTGCAAGTCTGATAAGCATTCCCTGCACCTCCTCATCCAAATCATTAATAAAAATGTTGAAAAACACTTGACCCAGGACTAAACCTGCAGTACCCTACTCATTAGCTCTCCCCAGAGTGAGAAGGTGCCATTGATAAGCATTCTTGAGGTTCAGTTGTGGAACCAACTGTAGATCCACCTTGATAGTTGTTTATCTTATGTTTCATTTTATCCTAGTAGCATTCATTACATCTTTTCTGTTAAGACAACCCCATCACCCCTTTCCTACAAAAACATGCCACAGGTTCTGGAAAAAATGAACAATCAGAAATCATCCAGATGTCATTTCTACTATTATTTATTTTTTTAAATATTTTTGAAAAAATATATTTTTTTACAATATTTTCAACTTAAACACTATTCACACTGAACACGTATGGCAGCTTAAGCTACCCAAATATGAAGTTTAAGAAGCCAAAACTGTTCTAGTTGTATTAAAAAAAAGTTGTGCTGTAGACTATTGTGTAGTGATGATTAATCAAAGCAAGGGAAAAGCACCACTCAAATCACTAATGCTAAAGTTTTACAGGTAACCCCAACTCTTAAAGTTGTAGTAGTTTTCATAGGCAGTGCCATGTTTCTGGATTCCTGGAAGAAACTGTGATGCTCAATCTCACATCACTTTAAATATAAATTCATAAGTGGGACAAACATTCCAACATGATAACTTGCTGTAAATACAATCTCATCTGCCAGTCTCTTTTTTTCCTCCATCAAATTTGTAGCCAAGATAAAGGACTCTGTACAGGTCTGTAAAAGTAATTCAGATATAGTACATCATTCACATTTTTCTCAAAAAAGAAGAGCATGAAGTAGTTTTTGCTTGATAATGGTAAGAGTTAGTAGCAGTACTGAAATACAGCGAATCTGCATAATCAGATATACCTTGCTTTTATTTTTATGTTAAGGCATTTTCAGGTGCATATCAACACCAACTCTTGTTTTAGTTAAAACAGACCACTCTTTGTCAAAGTCTGAATCCTTCTAAAAATATAATTGCAAGAGTTTCTCAGAAACTTGGTACTTTTCTCAAGTTGACTGGTGCTTCCTACCTCACTGTCTCCTTCACAAAAAGCCTGGTCCAATTTTGTCCATTTCACTTTCATTAATCTCTGACAGCAGTTGACTTAATAACAGTCTCAGCACTTTTATTAAGCATGCAAGACTAACAAAACTTTGGCAATGCGTAAGTGTAACACAGTGACAAGAAGAGAGCGCGTTTTAACAATTAAATCTTCTAATACTGGCTTCACAGTGTGGAAATTGTGCTACATCCACCAAAAGAGGGCCCAATCTACTCATATATTTAGTACTTCACCCCAGGAACAAACTCCTTTGCATTTGGATTCAGATTACTCTTGACCTGAAAGAGAGACAGATATTACATTTAGTTTATGGAGCAAGACCTGTCTTTTACATATTGGACTAAGGCTGAAGGAGCAAGATGTAGCTGTAGTCCCGGAGACAGTTTTATTGTAGAAGCATAAACTGCTGCCTTACAATAGGTCAGACTATATGACCACACAGTCCTCAATTTACTGTTTGCACTGGCAGTAGCTCAGGCACTCATTGTTCCTCATTATAACTGGAGTTATGGACCCCTGTCCAAAACAGTAAATGTATACCCTGTAGTACCATTTGTCAAAACCACAATGGAACCCCACTAATGCGGGACACAATTCCCTGCTTCTTGAATGCAAGGTGTGATGAAGCCTTGGATGCTCCATCTCACTTTGCCCACCTTTAATGAAGATGTATTAAAAACAGGGGTCTTCCGTGCCATCTAGAAATGTCATCTAGAAGTGCATCTTTACAAACAATATTTTAATGTGTTTGGTACAAGCTTATACATTTGTAGCCAAAAGCCAGGCTTACAATAAAAACTCCTGCTACAGTAGGGGCAGAACACCTTAATTTACAGGCACAGTGATATATCCTACATCATTAGCTTTGGGGTCCTTGCAGAAGAAAAAAATAAAAAGATATAAATATAATAATAAATAAGTTTAAAAGGCAGCCATTTAATTTAGACACTTGATCTTTAGTTTCTAGTTGTGAGCTTAAGCAAAAACAACAAAAGCATTAGCCTTCCAATGTATTTTTTTTAATGATTAGTGTTCATTTTACCTATGTCAGAGCCCTTCAGTGTCTCATTCTTGTTAAATTCTGCACATTAAATTTTATTACAACATGGTTAAGATTCACACATTTCTCTTCAAAACTTTAATATTACTACTGTTAACAGCAGAAACTTGTACATTTTACAGATATAGAATTTGGTAACTGCTGCAGAAATTTGTTGTTTCAAATAAAAATTCCTATGAGCCATTCCTCTTTACAATCAGCCTCCTGGGAAGGCAGAAAGCTATCTTAGAACTGAGAGCAACTTGATAATTCCAATGCATTTGAAACTGAGATAGCAATATTGCCCGTCTTCAAAGGGAGCTGATTTGCAAGACACATATCCAAGGAAGAAAGTCAGATATATAGCTGGTAACTCCTTGTACACTTCAAGAAGAAAATCTCAAAGCATCATGGAAGATCCAACAAGAAAGGCCAAGTACTCCAGCAGTCTGTGTATTACACCCAGCATTACAATTTACAAC